TCAGACACCAAGTTAAGTTAAATATGGAGCTGCTCATGATGGCAACCATCAACGTGAAAATCAGTAACATCTGCTATATCTGACAAAAATCTTTAATTCACATTTGAAATTGTATCTCATCTCTTTCCCTTTTCTTTATTTTTTTAATCCTCCCCCAAGGATAATTTTTATCGATTGTTTTAGAGAGAGTGTAGAGGAGAGGAGAGCAAGAGTGAGAGCGAGAGCGAGATAGAGAGAGAGAGAGACAGAGAGAGATATGAAAGAGACACATGATTGGTTGCCTTCTGCCTGGGCTCCTACCTGGCCAGTGTTGGAGCCTGCAAGTGAATCACATGCCCTTGACCCAGAATCAAATCCACGAACCTCAGTCTGCAGGCCCATGCTCCAACCACTGAGCCAATCTGGCTAGGGCTTTCTATTTTCTTTAGAGTAGTGTAACTTCCATACCCCCCACAATCCCACCCAGTGGATCCCATAATACATGCTTGCTAATCCTACACCTGCTTTACAGATATCAATGATCAATGTGACATTCAGTGACAGTTATTCTGAAGAACAGGGAAGATCTGACATTGCATGTGGCCCCAAGAAGCATGGCTGACTAATAGATAATAATATTCTGTACTTAGCTTCATTTCAAGTGCATAGTGTCATTTTACAAAACACCTGTCTTGCTGCTGGGGTCCAGCCAATCGGGAGTGAGCAAGGCAGGCAGGATATACCCTGGAGCCCTTCTTGGGTCTTTCCCTGGCTGGCCAACCTCCCCCATCTTTTCCCAGCTCTGATTGTGCACAGGTGGGGTCCCTGGACCTGGCCTGTGGCCTCTCGCAATTCAGGACCCCTCAGAGGATATCGGAAAACCGGTCCCAGCCCAATCCTGCAGGACTGGGACCGGTTTTCCTGAGGGACCCCACTGGTGCAGGAATTCATGCACAGGGCCTCTAGTAATCCTAATAATCACCAGGAAGTTGGATTCATATTTGGTATAATCTTCCTAGCAACCCTGAAAGTGGGTACTGTGTTATCCTCATTTTACACTTGAGAATTTTGAGGCTTTAGAGGATTAATTCATTTGCCCAAAGCCATGTAGCTAGTTTCAAATCCAGGTCTGCCCTTCTCCAAAGTCTGGTGAGAATTGAGGTATGCCCTTTCCCTGTTAATGTCTATCAAGCAAACTTCAATCTTTATACAGAAAGGAAAGCCAGACATTAAAATTACAGACCTTAACATCTCTTCTACTGTGTCATATGCAACTAAGATGACCCTTTGAAAATGATAATTTTAACAGAGACATTTTAAAAAATATATATTTTATTGATTTTTTTACAGAGAGGAAGAGAGAGGGATAGAGAGTTAGAAACATTGATAAGAGAGAATCATCAATTCTTGCACACACACACACACCCCCCACTGGGGATGTGCCCACAACCAAGGTACATGCCCCAGACCGGAATCGAACCCGGGACCCTTCAGTCCGCAGGCTGACACTCTACCCACTGAGCCAAACCGGTTTCGGCAACAGGGACATTTTTATGTCTTATAATCTCTTAGGCTCTGTTCTGTGAACCCATTATCAGTCATCTCTTTTTAACTCAAAGGTTAATAGGCAAGCACCCACTTCTGATTCATAGTGTGTGGTGCGGGTGTGACCCAAAGACCTGACCCAGAATTAAATCAACCCGCCAGCTTTCTTTTTATTTTCAAGGAACCAAATTCCCCACTGCATCTGCTAATGAGCAGCTGTCAGCATTTCCTTCTGAGTTTTCACGTCAATTTGTGAGACCTTGAAATATGAAAACATTTGTAAATGAATCCCCAAGGTGAAAGAGCATAGCTTTCTAAAAGCAGAGTCTTATTTTTTATTTTATTTTTTTAATGGGATTTTGTTTCCCCCCACCCCCCACCTTGAGAATATGTGTTGAGAATCTTCGGCAAGTTGGAAACAAGGTGTGAAACAGTCCAAAGCTCCTGTGCTTTACTTTTTGTCCATATGGATTTTCCTCAAAAGCGTAAATCACAGTTGATGGATCATACTCTTTTTTACTATTTTATTTTATTTTATTTTATTTTATTTTATTTTATTTTATTGATTTTACAGAGAGGACAGAGAGGGATAGAGAGTTAGAAACTTTGATGAGAGAGAAACATCTATCAGCTGCTTCCTGCATGCCCCCTACTGGGGATCGAGCCTGCAACCGAGATACATGCCCTTGACCAGAATAGAACCCGGGACCATTCAGTCCGCAGGCTAACGCTCTATCCACTGAGCCAAACCGGCCAGGGCTCATACTCTCTTTTTAAATGTCTAATTTCACCATGAGCCTTCTTAGTGTTTTACAGAGGACTGATTTTGACAACTACACGTTTGCCTTTGAAATAACTATGGCTACTCTCACACTGAGCGCTGCAGAGAGGAGAGGTTAGGTGCATTAGATTTTGTCAGAGCTCCATGGGCTCTTAACAAATGTCAGGAAACAGCCTGCTTTCAGATCTTGCCTCTGATGACATGAAGTAAGATAATTTTGTTTTATGGGATGCTTGCTACATGCTCATCACCCTGTGATGAACTTTGCACGTGTGATCTCTTCAACATTTACTTAATTTCATTAAACCTCAGTATTCTCAATTGTAAAATGAGAGCAATCATAGCACCTGCCTCATCGGGTGGATTTAAGATCGTGTGGTTAAAACACAGAAGACCTGGGATGTGATTAAAGGAATATTTATCCCTGAAAGTCCAAGTTTCTAATTAGAGTACAGTGAATGGGAATGTACAACATTTGCATGTCCACACCTCAGTGCCTGGCCCCACCACCCTCACTGACTACTTCATGGAAAGGGTAAAGCTGTTTTCTTGTATCTCTGTTTATACTATTTGACGAGATACCTTTTTAGAATTGGTTTAAACCATTCTCAGCTAAGATATAATTTGTTTCATCAGTTTGCTTTTATATAAACTGCCTGCACCTGCAATTGTGGAAAGCAGCTATAGTGTTTGGACAGGTTCAAGCCTTGGACTGATGAAGGGCACAGTCCTCTCATTGCCATGTGCCAGTCCCAGCTATAGTTGCAAGCTTGAACCTGTGGTACAAACACGTGGCCCCATGTGCCTGAGTGATGTGGGCTTGATAGAGTTCAGGTGCATGTCATTGAATAGGATTGAAACCCACGAGAATGTTTTAAACATTCTCTTGCTTTGCCTCTTGGAATCTGGCTATAAAATAAAGACATGGCTTGTAGTCCATGGCGCTGTCGCTAGCTCTCCATCAGAGAGGACAGCGTCCCACCGAGACCCAGCTTTCATTCTCTTGTCTGTCTTTTCCCAGTCCTTCACCCCCTCTCAGAGTCACCAAACCTGGCTGAGCTGATGTGGCACATAAGGCGCCCAATGTGGGCTGAGTATGCCATGGCCGTGCCGGCTTGCCACATGCAGTTAGCGATGTGCAGTCTGTTTATGAGTTACTAAACTGAAAGGTCACTTGGCATGCTTTGCAGAGAGGTGCCTTAGTAGGTGTTTCCCATATTCCCAGTATTGGCTCTTTTCCTACAGACTTCCCCCAAATATTACTTACTGCCTGACACCCAGAGGCAATCATATTTTCCAACATATTTCTCCCTGGATCTTTCCAAGGGATCTTTTCATTCCAAAACATATTGGTGGCTTCAGGATGGGGGAGTCAGTTACCTTTGAATCTGCAAAGCTGGCGTTAAGGGGGACACTCTGCCACTGAAGCTGTGTCACCTCAAGGGACCTTAGTTTTTCATGTGCAAAATGGGAGTAGTATTTGCCCTGGCCATCTCCCAGTTCTTCAAGATGAAAATAGAAAGCAACATGCAAAGAAGGGATAAAGTAACCTAATTCTTTTTAAAAAAATATATTTTATTGATTTTTTACAGAGAGAAAGGGAGAGGGATAGAGAGCTAGAAACGATGAGAGAAACATCAACCAGCTCCCTCTTGCACACACCCTACCGGGGATGTGCCGGCAACCAATGTACATGCCGTTGAACGGAATCGAACCTGGGACCTTTCAGTCCGCAGACCGACGCTCTACCACTGAGCCAAACCGGCTTTGGCAAAGTAACCTAATTCTTAATGGCAAAGAATTGGAGGCCAAACAGCATTCAGTTTGACACTTAGTGGCTGCAGGATAGTTGGGCACATTTTTTAACCTAACAGAGCAGGAGACTGTGAAGATTAAGTGAGATAATATAATTCTCTCACAATGCAACAAGCTCTAGCTAGTAGATTTTTTTTTATTAACATTGGGTTATGAATGGTCTTATTTCAATATAACACAACAGAGAGGAAGGAAATATTAGAAAAGACCCGAATGAACATGCGAATTCATGCTGTGTATGTTGGACAGGAGTTTTGGCGTTTAAATAAGATCTGCATTCTCTAAACCTTGCCAGCATAATACGAGATCATCAGTGAAAAATGACAATGAAAGCTTTTTCATTAAACTTTCTTTTCTCCACAGAAAAGAACCACAGTTTGCAGACTTTATATTAGACTTGCCTTTGACCCTGTGTTTGGCACCTAAAGTTCCTCAGTAACCATTTATTAAATATGTAAGTGACATGTGTTTGCTTTTCTCCGGAATCTCTTCAAAGTCCTGTTCCTCAAGTGAAACAACTTAGTTTACAAAGTCTTCCAAAGACCCGTCAAGTGCCTGTTATGTGCCTGGCTGATGAAATTGTGAACATAAGAGATATGATGTATGCAGAGTAGTGGGGAAAGTTGCTTACATTGTATTTCTTCTGAATCATCCGGTGAGCTTGATAACTTGGATTATGCTTTAGCCACATTTCCTTTCTTATGACCTGAAGAAAGTCTTTATGGTGCTAAGATGTTTCAGAGACCACTCAGCAGAACAGCAAACTGAAAATGGTTTTCTCCACAAACCAAGTGACTGATAAGATTCCACTGAATAGTGTAGTGAAAGGTGTTACGTCTACGTTATTATTTTCTGCTGTTGTCTGTTTTGTCTTTCCTAGAATGACTATAAAAAACTGTCGATGCAGTGCAAAGATTTTGTTGTTGGGCTCCTTGATCTGTGCAGAAATACAGAAGAAGTGGAGGCCATTCTGAACGGGGATGTTGAAATACACCACAGTGGCAGAGACCACAGTCGTCCAAATCTCAGCCGTTTAAAGCTTGCCATTAAATATGAAGTAAAAAAAGTAAGGTCAGGCATGAAGCCTGTGTCCGTTATTTCCATTTGTATGGGTGCTAAACCAGGACAAAGGGAGGGTTGGTTGGCATGGTTCAGTTAAGCTGGGTTTTTCTAAGGAATAATTGCTTTAGGCAGATTCTCTCACAAATGCCGAGAGCCTGCAATGAGGCACCTAACCTATCCTGAACGCCAGTCTTTAACAATCTAGGCTTCCTTATGGGCGATTCCACTTTCCTGTACATCACTAATGACAGAGCCATGACTTTTGTGTGCCCAAATCACAAGTCCTCATTGTTGAACCCAACTCCAGGTCCCGTGTGTTGTTATGTTCCACTTCCTTCTTGAGCGCATTTGAATCTCCTCCAACTGTGCCTTTATTTGTGGAATATGTTTACTCCCTGTTTTTATGTGGTTTACCCTCTTCCCCCCCCTCCCCCCTGAATTCTTGGCTGCTTTCTTAGGTTATGTGTGATATCTTTTTTAAAAAGTTTTTAAAGCTAAGTTGTATAACAAATGTTGTATAATACATGCTTATGGTAAGTTTTCAAACAGCACAGATGTATCCCCTTTCTATCTTCCCAATTTGTATAGAAAGTAGTAAATCGACATTCTATTTCTGTTCTTACCAGAGGGAAGAGGTGGGAGAGGATGAAGAGGATAGAGGAGGTCAAATGCAGTATACAGATTATGTATTAGAGAATCTACAACTGAAACTTATATAATGTTATTAACTAATGCTACCTCAATAAATTTAATTTACTAAATTTAATGTGAGAATAAAAATTCTGAAAAACAAGCTTTTTTAATTGAAAGAGTTTATGACACAGAAATAGAATAGGCAGTCTATAAACTGACCCTTATATGTAAATGAGAATTTAGTATAAAATAAGTTTAGTGTTTTAGGCCAATATAGGAAAGATGGTATACTTTTTTTTTTAAGTATGTAAATATCTGGACTAGCAGGGTTTTTCCATTGTTCCTTCTAATTGAAAAAACCATTTATATATATATATATATATATATATATATATAAAAACCTAAGTGACCTCCCAACCAGCCAACCGGTAGCTATGATGCGCAATGACCTCTAAGGGGGAAGACACTTTGACCAGTAGCTGTGACATGCACTGACCATGAGGGGGCAGACATTCAATATAGGAATCGCTGAGCTGCAGTGACTTGGCAGCTGTGGTTCTTGGGTGATGCACCAAGAATCAGAGAGTAGAGAGCCCTATTTTGGGGTGCATCATCCGAGAACCACCCTCTCACAATCTGAGACCCTTTGGGGGATGTCAGGAGCTGGTTTTAGCCTGATCCCCACAGGCCAGGCTGAAGGACCTCACCTATACACAAATCTATGCACTGGGCCTCTAGTATAATTATAAACATCCTTGTGTAAAACACTGATTGATCTTTATACAATGTTAAATTTTTTTTAAAAAAGTATGCTTTGAAAGAAAGCCCATTTGTTATGAAGGGAATGTTTGATAAATTAGAATCTCCTAATTTGTTTAATACATACTAGAACATCCTGCCATCTTGTGTGCTGTCAACTAGATGCTTTATGTTTATCCCTTAATTCTACCAATATTTTCCGTGGGAAAGAACAGAACAAGGTATTAGAACAAAATAAAATAGTTGAATAAAATGCTGAACTTTTCTTTAATCAGGCTGTTCAATGTTTTATCAATTTCCTGCTAGTTTGTAGCCCATCCAAACTGCCAGCAGCAGCTCCTCTCCATCTGGTATGAGAACCTCTCAGGCCTGCGGCAGCAGACGATGGCAGTCAAGTTCCTCGTGGTCCTTGCTGTTGCCGTGGGACTGCCCTTCCTGGCTCTCATTTACTGGTTTGCTCCATGCAGCAAGGTATGTCCGTGGAACCTGGACCTCTCTCGTCTCCTAGAAGCATGTCTCGTTGAATAGATCAGGGGCGGGTATGCATAGAAAATTCACCTCCCAAATGAACATTTTAGGAAGGTCATGGTTGGGCTTAAATAATCTTATTATTTTTAATGTTGCAAAAATAACATAGATTAGCTAGGAAATAGAAAAAGAAATGCAACGAAGGAAACATTCACCTGCAATGTCATCACTGCTAATATGCCAAAGAAAAGCCTCAGTTACTATGGCAATCTATAGTCATATCTATGCATATCTTTTTATAGTTTTAAATGAGGTTGCATAGCATGCCTTGACAAGGCATTTCAAATAACATTGTAAGAGATAAATGTGTTTCCTCTCTTTATTTTTCCTCTGGCAAATTTGACATGAAATTTTTAAAAATTTATTTTAGCTAAAATGGCCCGATAAATCTTCATTTAAATAAAGGGCAACCATATAAACACACACACACACACACACACACACACACACACTAATATAATGTAGATTCAGTGAAGAATATTTATTTTAAGAATAGCATGGATAACCTATTGTGTTTGTGTTTTAAAGCCAAATCTATCTGCCCAGGCTTTGCTGAAAATATATTCACATGGACCTGGCCTTTCATTGGTGACAGAACAAGCCTAAAAAATATTCAGATGTTTGAATTCTGTTAACAGACACAGACATTTGTCTGTCCTGCGATGCCAGCTATCTTATTTTTCATGCTTTGGAAGCCGCATTTCTGGAACTGTTTAAGTTACAACTCTGACAGACTGAAATAATTCTACCGCTACATGGCAACATGTCTGCAGGGCATCTATTTATGTGCTCTGCAGAAATGCCAGCTGAATCACTGGCTGGTCTTAAACAACGGCATGACTCATTTTCAAACATTTGTAAATGCGGGGGTGTGCCCCAATACCACTACTACCAACGTATTGTTTTATTCCTTAGTCCCATGTGTGGTGCTCTGGCCTAATAGGGACTTTTCTCAGCAGCTTTTGGTAGAAACCTGATGCAAAGCCTTTTCCTTTTTAAATATGATGTGAACTTCATAATTACTTTTGGGGATGATAATAGCATCTGCTGGAAATGAGGCACTTTCTTATGTACAAAACCTATCACCCTTACAATACTTACAGCCCCAAATTTATCTCTAAACTATAAAGGTTGAAAAGAATGAGACTGACAAGAATTAGGAATTTATAGCAAATTTTCTTCTAGAAAGTATTTTTTTTTTGTCTTCCCTGTTTCATAGAAATACAGATTGCACTTCGGAAAAAAAAAAATTGGAATTGTTCTTAGTAGAACAAAGGTCATATCAATGTATATAGTCTCTGTCCTGCTTCCACTCACATTTCCTGAGTCTTCAGAGAGTTAAGATGAATTTAAAGGGGAGGAGCTTTTGAATTATATATCCTGTGATCAGTTAAAATATAATAACTTTCCTAAGCTGAATAATTGTCCTTCCCCCTACCCAGTGAGTTCAAAGCATAATGTGTTCCAGAGAGTTTGGTGTTTTGACAGAGAATATTTTTGGCAGTCCTTACAGTTACACATTACCTAAATTTTGACTGAATCCTAATTAACCTTATTTCCTTCACTATTTCTTCTTCCCTGGCCATGTTTCTGTCTGGCATTTGTTTTCCATCCTCGTTTATGAACACTGAGGCAAATAATCAAATTAAAAGGACACGGTCAAGGTATTTTCTTCTCATATTAAAACCTCTTTTACTGACTGTTAGTTAGCCTTTGAAGCATGATGGTGAAGTCCATTTTACAATTTTTCCATTTAGCAATGAACATAAACACTATTTGCAGGTTACAGAATTGATTTTTTATGTGGGAAGATTGCTTAAGCTACACTGATGCTTTTATTGAAAGTACTATTTCCCAATACGTCCACACAAATTAAGCCAGATTGTACTGTAGGCCGGTGCACCTTGACAGAGTCCCATTTCTGTTTGAAGTTGTTTTTATTTTTTTTTCAGATTGGCTCTCTTCTCCTTCCAGAAACTTCTTCTTTGTCCTTACAAATTCTGTTTTTTCACTATAATCTAAATATCATTTAAATATATTTAGATTTAATCTAATAATCTAAATTTAATCTAAATTTAGATTTAATCTAAATAAATATGTTTAAATATAATCTAAATATAATCTATATCTAAATATATCTAAATATAATCTAAAAATGGCTTTATGCTCATTATCATAAAAATAGGTCATGCTGTGATTTCAACTTATTTCAGTTTAAGTTGGTGTCAACTTTTTCTATTGCTATTCGTATTTCAGAGTTAGGTATTTGCTCATTAATAAATACTTGAAAAGCGTATGACCTATAATATTTAAAAGCGAGTATTTCTTTCAGTGCTTCCACTGAAATTCAATAATTTTCCAGGTACCTCAAGTATTTACCTCGTTCATTGATGAGTCCCTCACTTTACAGTTTTGGTTTTTCCCCCAGAAATTTGTTTACATCTCAGGAGATACAAATGACAAATTTTACTAAAATGGAAAATCACTTAAACTCCTAAAGTCCATGAAATGGTACCAAAATCTGCCTAAGTTTAAAGAAAAACACAACTCTCAGTGATTTTGTTGGCTGTAGGAAAACAGCACCAGATGTTAACCAGCAACCTTAGTTCTTGAGTTCTGGCTGAGAAAGAATTCAGAACCAAGACAGATTATAACAAAAAGGTTTATTTAGAAAGAAATGGGCTCAGAAAACTAAATAGGATGAGAGAGAGAGAGAGAGAGAGAGAGAGAGAGAGAGAGAGAGAGAGAGAGAGAGAGAGAGAGAGAGAGAGAGAAGAGAGAGAGAGAGAGAGAGAGAGAGAGAGAGAGAGAGAGAGAGAGAGAGAGAGAGAGAGAGAGAGAAACACCCTGGGGAAAGAAGAGGATGGGGAAAGCACAGGCATGCTCCATGGAGAGAGCCTCCCTGGGTCCTCTGTCCTGAGAGAATTTGTCTGAGGTCTCAGGGGAAGAGCTCAATGGAACACACATCAGCTTTCCTGGTGCCTCTCCTCAGGGCCATGCTGATGCATTAGTCAGTGCAGCTGGTCCTGATCTCTGTCTCAGTGCCACTCCCCCTGCTTTTGCTGCATTTCTGCCCTGGAGCTGAAAGACAGCTGAGGCCTAGATGTCCTCTCCAGGGGTCAGTGCTTACGGAAGTGGGCCTGCAGGCCCTGTTACTAGGCACCTGGAGCGCTCTGGCCCGGTGACCTTCTGCACCTGGCCCATCCTTCCTGCCCTCTCATGCTACCTAACTGCCTGATACAGCTTGTAATAGGAAATGGAGGATATGAATATCCAAACACACCATTTTCATTTCCTGCCAATCAATTTTTAGTTTTTTTTAAAAATTTTGTTTTCTTTGAACTAGGACGCTGAATAAGCAGCAAAAACACCTGGTTTGATTCTCCTCTCTCCCTTCCGAATAAAATAAAGGTGTAATGTTACATAAAGGCCAAGAACTCCATGAAGAAGGTAGGCCAGCCAGGCCAGGGTGAGGCACAGACCAGACACCCTGCCCTGAATAAGCAAACACTGACTCTGGGTGTGCCCAGGACAGCAAAACCCAGGTTCCAGAGTTTTCAGACGGTGGCCCACTCTAACAGACAGCTTTATTCTCAGCCCTGTTCTGCACTGCAGGCTCTCCTCCTCCTCCTCCTCCTCCTCCTCCTCCTCCTTCTCCTCCTCCTCCTTCTCCTCCTCCTCCTTCTCCTCCTCCTCCTTCTCCTCCTCCTCCTTCTCCTCCTCCTCCTCCTCCTTCTCCTCCTCCTCTTCCTCCTCCTTCTCCTCCCCCTATTTTAATGTGTGCTCTCTTGTGTTTGGGATAACTTTATATTTTGAAGGCTGCCTCTGATTCTTCCTGGAACAAGGCAGAATATAAATACATATTCCATAGATTTCACTACTAACAGTCATTGCCTCATCCCAGTTTTCCACAGCAGAAAAATAAACTGAAAAAAAATTAAAATTGGTTTAAGATTTATAGTAGCTTTTTCCATGAGGAATTTATTAAATTGTGTGCTACATTTTTATTTGCTATAATACATGATTAAAATAAATCACATGTAAAACATTGTAGAATTAACATGAAGCACATGGTACACCATGGAAAAAGAAATTAAAGACATATTTATGGTCATTTGTTAACAGTCTATATTTTTTAAAAACACAGTTAAGGACAACATGCAACAGAAGATGAAGTCCACTTTGTTTCCCATGTGGTTTAACCTACCTTCATTTGATTATTTGAGAGTTCTAGTTTTTAAAAAATTAAAAAATACTCTGAGTCAAATAATGAGCATTTTTATGGAAGTATGGTTTTCAGAGATGATTTTCATAGCAGATTTTCACAAAGTGACTTTGTATTGGCTCTACAAATATATCTAGCTAGATGGATCCAATGGACATATACACACACACACACACACACACACACACGCACACACACACATACTCTCTTGCAAATATCCTGATGTCTGGTCTGGCCTAAATTCAAGAGACAAGCAACTGAACTATATGATTTATTCTAACCTTAACATTTAAGATTTTGAAAACCATATATTCAAACATAATTTACAGAAACAGAGTACATTGATTTCATTTCTTCCATACAGCATTTAGCTTTTTAAAGTTTTTTTTTTTAATTTTTGACTTTTTTATTTTTCAACTGCATATTATATTAGTTTCAGGTGGATGCATAGTGGTTAGACATTTATATGACTTACAAAGTGATTCCCCCAGTAAGTCTAGTACCCACCTGGCACACCATACATATTATTGACTTAAAAAGAACCTTCTTTGTTTTCTCTAAGAATTTACATATATATATATATATATATATATATATATATATATATATATATAATGATAAAATAAAAATTACTTTGCAAACAAAATTACCTTGGACACAAGAATGCCTATGTTCAAATTCCAGCTCTGCCATTTAAGAGTTGTGTGAACTTTAAGCATTTAAGCACATTTCTGGACCTCACTTCCTCAGTCATTTTTTATCTGTAAAATAGGCATTTTGGTATCACCTACCTCTTTGGATTGTACTGATTATATGACTTAACAGAGTAAAGTGCTTAAAACAGTACTTGGCACATAACAGATACTGGCTGTGTTGTTGGTATTATTATCTTGGGAATTTTTCTGTAGTAATAAACTTACTTAAAAGGCTGTTGGAAGCTATGTGCTCTCTCTAAGAAAACAACTGCACCACACACTGAGCTTTGCTGACCACGTCAGGAGATGCAGAGAGCCCCTGAGACACATCCTAGCCACATTCCACCCTCCACCTCAGCTAGAGTTTGTGCTTCTCAGATGGAAATGCATCCTGTACTGTAGAGGCACGAGAGCTTTTCTTGTCTCCATAGCCCCTAGGAAGAATTTGATTTTCACATAATTTAGGAAATCCACTTATTGCCACTTAGCTAATGAGGGAATGAAACTGGAACTTGAACCTAAAATATGGGGCTTTAAACACGGTGTCCCGGCACATTGTGGAAACTGCCCTCCTGTCCTCTCTTCCGTTGGAAGTTCTTTTCCTGGTTCTCGTGACTCCTACTCCATTTACAACATCACCAAAATAGCGATGTCACATGAGGCCTGACTTTACGCACGCACCCACATCAGTGAAATATGTATGAGGACAACATTGCACAGTAGACTCAGTTTGATATTTTTATTGCTGCCTCCTTAATACTTCATGCCCACTAAATTGATTTGCTTTTTATGAATAATAATGATACTATGCTCTGCTTCTGTCATTATTATATTAACAAAATTATTTTATCAATGCTATATAAGGTTTTAAGAATTTGCATATCGTGTAATAGAAAAGTTCACTTATTAAATTATCCGCCCAGATCATCAACAGATGTAGATGAGGAATGTGACCAGAATTTTATAGCAGCATAAAGAATTACTCCATCATTTGTTTTATAGGTATACATCATCACTTTAGGGGAACATGGGATTACACAGGTAGTTGGTTATTCCTGTGTATATGCATGTGTGTTTTGCAAAGCGTACAAAACGAAGCTAAGATTTTCTTTTGGTATGTGTCATGGCAGATGGGGAAGATCATGCGTGGACCATTTATGAAGTTTGTAGCACACGCAGCCTCATTCACCATTTTTCTGGGACTGCTAGTCATGAATGCAGCTGACAGATTTGAAGGCACCAAACTGCTCCCTAATGAAACCAGCACAGATAATGCAAAGCAGCTGTTCAGGATGAAAACATCTTGCTTCTCATGGATGGAGATGCTCATCATATCCTGGGTAATAGGTAAGGACCAAGTTTCTGTCATCATTTATTTTCGCAGCCTTAGCAGCTGGACCGAATGCCACTGATTCCTTCACACATCCGTTATGTACTAGTACATGTACACAACATGACACAATGCACCCCACACCATGATTTTCTTTGTGTTTTTAAAGCAGAGTTAGTTTGGGTTCATTACCAGTGTCATAGTTTTCTCACATACCCCCAAGACTCCCAGGAAGAAAATAAATAGGATAATATCAATCAAACCCCATCTGAGATGAAAAAAATCACTATTCATATTTTGCGAGAGCTGTGACATAAAGCCGAAAAACAATCACATGATTTTACATTGAGATTTAATAGGAACTGGAACTAATATCCACTTATTTTTGCATTTTTGGAACATTACATGTCAGAGACTATTCAGATACTTTATTTTATTTATTGTTGTTTTTTTTTTGAGAGAGAGAGATCAATGTGTTGTTCCACTTATGGATGCATTCATTGGTTGCTTCTTGACTGTGCCCTGACTGGGAATCAAACCCCCAACGTTGGTGATGATGCTCTAACCCAGTGGTCGGCAAACTCATTAGTCAACAGAGTCAAATATCAACAGTACAACGATTGAAATTTCTTTTGAGAGCTGAAAACCAACTTCTGCACATGGGCTGCGGTTTCAATCGCACTGTATGTACACTCCCACACGTGGTATTTTGTGGAAGAGCCACACTCAAGGGGCCAAAGAGCCACATGTGGCTCGCGAGCCGCAGTTTTCTGACCACTGCTATAATCAACTGAGCCACCCAGACATGTTTCAAAGCACTTTACATACATCAAGTTATACAACCTTTCTGCCTCCGTTTTCTAGTCTGTAGCGTCATAATACATCTACCTTACAGCATTCTGAGACCCGTGGAGCTCCCGGGTGCCAAGGGAACAGAGGGAATGCATGTTCACTGCCGCACCACTTGCCAATCAATCATACATATGACTTGTCACTAATATAATGCAAATAGGAAAGATATTTCAATTGGCTATTTATGAATGAATAAATTCAGTAGCTATCATATTAAGTGCCTTTGTTAGGCAGTGAGGATACTGAGGTGAATGAGACGCAGTCCTTCCACTGAAGTCTGGGGGCAGGTCAATGAGTAAACTTGTCTCTGCGGAGAAGACTGAATGAGCACATGGGTGTTTCTGTTTTATTTTATTTTAAGAAATATAAAGCCAGGGAGCGGGCTTTTTCTCACTGCCCTGGAGGCAGAATGAGCACCAGCCAGTCTGCACGGGGGGGATTCTTCCTGCACATTCAACAGTGGGATGAGCAGCTTTCAGAATAGTAAGCACCTCACCTCCAGACAAGTTCGAGCAAGGCTTGGTCCCCACGGAGCAGTGGGTTTCAAATTATGCTTGGCAGCTCTGCAGCCTCTCAGGGCAAATAAGACAGGAAATCTTTCTTCAGGTGGATTAGTTCACTGTGTTTGTTTTGTTTTTTAAGCTTTGGTAAGATATTTTTACCAATAATTATACTTCTGAGATTGGGGGTGGAGGGGAGAGAAAGAGAAATAAGATGGAAAACTGGGAGGAAGGAGAGGAAGCTTTGATAACAACTAGACCACCTGGGTTTAAATGTCCCATTAATCCCTATATTTCAGTTCTCCCGCATCTCCCATGAAGGAGGTTGGCAAGAACCCAGGGACCACAAAAGGAAAGCTGCCTTCAGATTTCTCTCATCCTTGCTCATAAGGAGGGGAGGTGTGTGCGTGGTTAAGTGTATACACGCAGTATATCCTGTTTTAAATTTGATCCACTAAAATATGTATGAACTTGATTTTAGTCACCCCTTACTGTGGAAACATTCAAAATAAAGTAATGAAGTTATCTTCTCATCAAAGCACATACTCTGTGATGCACTGAATTCTAGTTTTGAGAAAAGTGCATAGTAAATTGTTTGCAGGCAGAGACCACACACTCGGCAGGTTCTTGGTTAAAGACTCATTACAAATGGGAGAATATGGAGCAAGTGGTTGCTGGGAGGAAGAGGATATTAATTTCAACTAGGGGACTCTGAAAGACTTCTTGATGGAGGCAGGTTTGACTGATTGTTGGAATCCAAAGATTACATTCCTCCACAGGGCTCTAGGAGGAAGCAGGATGTCATAGAGTAGGGTATCTTAAAGCTAAGAGGGGTAAAGTCCCTCCTTTTTAATAAAGCAAGATTCTTCAAGTTAAGGAAGAAAATATGTGCCAGTCATAGAAATTTAAAAATAGTAAGTGCTCAATAAATTTTACTTGTTATTTTCCCCAAGTGCCAGATACAGTGACATGCAGTTTATATGAGTTGTTTGTCTCATAGCAATTCTATGAATTAGGTGAAAACTACTATCATACCCATTTTACAGATTGAGTTTTATAAAGTTTAAGTAATTTGCCAAAGATTACAGGGCTAATAAGTGGAGGGACAAGGTCAAACCCCTGGAGATTTGATCCCAAAAACTATGTTCTTAAGTAGTACATTAAATTTTAGAGAGAAAGTGCAATATTATTAATAATTCCACCAGCAAGAGACCACTGCTATGAATAAGACCCTGAATTCCTTCTAGTCTTTTGTTGTGCTTGCTTTAAACATAAAGTCATGGAATATATCGCATATTTTACTTAACATGTTTAAATGCTTATGATAAACATTCTCCACCATGTAAGTCCAGGTCTTCCAAGAAGGATGTGCAAAGACAGGATTGAATATATGACAGTTAAATTAAGGGAGATTGAAATTCTATTAAGGGAAATTTCATATAGGAGAAAATGAGGAGGGAGCTGAGGAAAGATTGGGGTATCAGACGGGGATATGAGCCTGATTTTGAGGAAGGGAGAGAGAGAGAAAGGGAAGAAGTTGGAAAGAAGCATCTTAGATCTCCATGCAGTCAAAAAGGAGTTCAGTAAGGCTGTTAGGAAATACTTAAGCCAAAATCAGCCACCAGAGTATTCCCATGCATGTCTCCCAAGAATGGATTCTCTCACTCTTCGGCTGGGAGCAGCCCATGGGAAGCATTGTTGTGGGACAAAAATGGCAGTAAACTTCAGAATGCAGTCGCTGAGGCCCAGGGCCAATTAAAGTCTTGGTCTGTGAGGTCTAGGAGGTACATTCTCATGGTCACTACTCCATGGCAATGAAAATATCATATCAAATGGCCATGCCTGTGTTTTGGTTATAAAGAATCCTACAGTGAAGAACTTTTTAATATATTTTTATGTATAATATAACATTAATGGGTCAAAAAATCTTTTTTTTTTTAAAGCATCTTGATGAACTTTGTCAAATTGTTTTCAGATAAGGCTCTGATATTGCTGGACTGTGCGATTTGGGGAGAAATGGGAATTATGGAAGAATGGTTGGTTTGAGGCCAAATGCTGATGGGTTTTGAATATCAGGTTGAGGTCTTTCAAATTTTTGTTATATTGAAGAGCTTAGGCTGGAATGAAATTGAATTGATAATTTAACCCCTTTCCAATGCAGGCATGATATGGGCTGAATGTAAAGAAATTTGGACTCAAGGCCCCAAGGAATATTTGTTTGAGTTGTGGAATATGCTTGATTTTGGTATGTTAGCGATTTTTGCAGCATCATTCATTGCAAGATTCATGGCATTTTGGCACGCTTCCAAAGCTCAGAGCATCATTGATGCAAATGATACTTTGAAAGACTTAACAAAAGTCACATTGGGAGACAATGTGAAATACTACAATTTGGGTGAGTTTACAGTATACAGTCAATATAAGTTAATAAAAATGTAGAACTTTCCTATAAAAGTATATGACAATAGTAGTTTGGTTATCACCCATTCTCATTGAATTATTGGTTAGTTTCCAGCTTATCCAGAGTATCTGTATCTGAAGAAGCATGTTTTTTGCTTCTTCCTTCTATTTTTCTTCTGCTTGGAAATATCTTAGTCACAGGAATTATCTCACTGATCTTTTGGATCAGGTGGCTAACTATCAGACTCCATTGAGAAGGCTTGCTTGTGTCTTGGATTTATTTCTTTTCTCATCTCTATTAAAAACACTACTCCTTGTTTTTCAACTCTGGTTTGTTTGTTTTTGGTTTGTTTTTGTTTTGTTTTCAGATTCCTCATATAAGGGATATCATACAGTGTTTTTGTCTTTCTCTGTCTCACCTTAGCATAATGTCCTCAAAGTCCATCCTTGTCTCACATATGACAGGATTTCCTTCTTTCTCATGATTGATAATATTTCATTGTGTGTATGTCATGTCTTCTTTTATCCATTCATCCATTGGTGGCACTTAGATTGTCTTCATATCTTGGCTGTCGTGAACAATGCTATAATAAACAATGGGAATGCATAAAAACACACACAAATAAACCCCAGAATACATTTGAGTACCATTTCCATTTAAGACATATAGATTATTTGAAAGCAAGGGAATTGTTGGAATCTCTGAAAGGGCCCTCAATAAATGACACTACTGTTTCCCACCCAAGCTTTGAACTGGGAGAGATATAAAAACAAAAAGTTAACATGGAGGTCGGGTCATCACTTCTAAGACTGATAGGGTTCAGGGTTGATGACATGATTTTAAGTCATTAACCAATGGGCTCAGCAATATTGAACTCCCAGAACTAGGCAGACATCTCTTTAAATTTCCAAACAATAATGGTCAGGAAAGTCCTCCCCTAAGAGGGGTATGGCAGCATGTGCCTGACCATGTGATATTTCTCCATGTGAATTCAGAGGAGAATTCACAAGAAAAGGAGGACAGAGCTGAGCTAGGTATGCTCAGTAATCCATCCCAAGTCAACAATCTGATAAGTCATTCCATTGCCCCAGGAGGAAAGTGACTAAGAATGGAAATAGGTCCAGTGATTTGCCTAGGGGAAATCCCTTCTTGTAGAAACATGGAGTTGGAAAAATAGACTTTCTCTGTATACTTACTTTAAACTCTCTGATAAGTAATCAGTTAACACGTTCATTGTCATCTCTACCAGTTAGTGGCTATATCACATAAGGATTTATTTTTTTTATTAACTTGTGTATTTCTTTTACCATTTAACTATAATTTTTAATATATAGAATTTTATAAAGTTAAAGTGATCTGTCTGTTTATATGTAGTACTTATATTCAAAGCACTATGTATATGTTCTCAGCAAGTAAACAAAGACACATTTATAATAACATTTTTCCTTTTTATTACACATTGTTGTTTTTTGCATTTTTCTTATGATGCTTTCTTAATTGGGTTTTTGATAACCTAACATAGTAATATATAGTAATTATATCAGGTCATCAAAATTTAATAAATGAATAATTGCTCTTTTTTATGATAAAAATAGACTTGAGTGACCCATAAAATTACTTTAGCAAGTTTAAATAACTACAAGTATTTCACTAGCTCCAAATCACATAATAGTCTATATAATAAAAGGATAATATGCTAATTAGGATGGATGTTCATCAGGACAAAGCCCCAGCAGCTGTGAGGCCCAGGGCTCAGGTAGCCATGGGCTCAGGCAGCCACCGCAGCCAGAAGTGGCAGCAGCAGTGGGGTGATGGGGGCAGCACCTTCCCCTGATCAGCCTGGTCGCCTTCCACAGAGGGAGGCATGACTGCAGCAGAGCCTAAGCCATCAGTAGGACATATCTGGAGGGCTCCCTCTGAGAAGTGTCAAGCTGGGCTGAGGGGACACCCTCCCTCAGCACAAATTTTCATGCATCATTATTATAGTTCATGTTATTATAGTTTAATATTAAATAATAAATGCTACCATTTATTTAATATCAACTACTTTCTAAACAGGGAATGTAGGTTGATGTATTGAATTCTCACAACAGATGAAAGTGATAGAAGTGGTATTATCTCATTTTCAAGGATGGGAAAATAAAGACTAAGAGAAGTTAAATAATTTGTCCCAGCCTTTCTAGTCTATCTATTAGAATTTTTATACATACTGAGATTGTAGTTTGAGCTCTTAACCATTATGATATTCTCTTATGGAAAATTGCCAATAAACCAACTATTGATAGGAGGGTCATTTTCTCAATAAATTCACAAGCTCAAATATACCTGATGCTTAAAGAAGCTCTCTAAGAACAGATAATTCCATTGGGAACTTAAGTAAACAACTTAAAGAAACTCACCATAACTCATATCTTCTTTTTTTCCTAGCCAGGATAAAGTGGGACCCCTCTGATCCTCAAATTATATCTGAAGGTCTTTATGCAATTGCTGTGGTTTTAAGTTTCTCCAGAATAGCTTATATCTTACCAGCAAATGAAAGCTTTGGGCCTCTGCAGATATCACTTGGAAGGACAGTAAAAGACATCTTCAAGTTCATGGTCATCTTCATCATGGTGTTTGTGGCCTTCATGATTGGAATGTTCAACCTCTACTCCTACTACATTGGTGCAAAACAAAATGAAGCCTTTACCACGTATGTGATCCCAGATGTTTTGATGATGGTGATTATAGATTAGATAAGTATGAGCTTAAATGATTACAGATTAAATAAATGGTGTGTAAAACAAAATGAGACCCTCACAATGTATTAAATGTTCTCAAATGTTTTGATGGTGAAGATTGCAGAGTAAATTAATGTTGGCTTAACAGAGTTTGTATATGTTTATGGGATAAATAATACTTTGATCTTCCTCTTCAGTGAAAAGAGATTTGTAAATGAGTTGAAAGAACTAAAAAATATAAGCATCTTCCTAATATAAAGGAATAATTGCTAACATGTTTAGAGCTAGGTGCTGTAATAGGATTTTGTTATCTCCATTTCACAAAAAGAGGAAACTAAGGTTCAGAAAAGCTAAATACCTTGCTGTATGTTGCTGCACCGCTGCCAGCATTTGGAAAAGCTGGGACGTAACCCTTTGTCCACTGACTTCAGCATCTGTGCACTTAACTGCTGGGGTGCTGGCCGTGAGCACAGCTGCCTTCCTAATTTAATTTCTCAGGTCATATTGAGATCTGAGTTATCAACAGGGACAAGAGTGTTTTTGGCTTATGTTCACCATAGACACAGGTTTTTGTTAAGTTTTTTAATAAAGTAGGTTTGGAATTGATTACACAAATATTAGGTTCTCGGTATCACAATTGGAAGCATCAACTGCAGCATCACCTATTGTTACCCATATTTTTGTGAAGTGCAGTTTATCAGAGAAATGAAACCACCTTAGTTAAACAAATGGGCTTAGCTTTGCTCAATAATTAGTCCGAAAGCAATGAAATACCTGCTAAGACATGTTAGTGATTTTGGTAACAGTGTATCCTATATAATAAAAGGCTACTATGCCAATTGACCAAACGGCAGAATGACCAGTTGCCTTGATGCGCACTGACCACCAGAGAGCAGACATTCAATGCAGGAACTGCCCCCTGGTGGTCAGTGTGCTCTCAACAGGGGGGGGGGGGTGTTGCTCAGCCAGAATCTGGGCTCACGGCTGGTGAGGGCAGTGATGGTGGTAAGAGCCACTCCTTGCCTTCACAGCAGCGCTAAGGTTGTCTGCTAACTTAGGACTGTGAGAGGGCACAGGCCGGGCTGAAGGACCTTCCTGAGTACATGAATTTCATGCACCAGGCCTCTAGTATATATATAATAGTGTATGTTTATATTGTCATATTTTCCTTAAGACATATTATATTGTTATATACTATTTATTGCACATAAGTGGAAGTATAGATGAACAGGAAACTTAAAGGGGCTCTAACAAATTGAACTGTTATTATTAAATAATACATTTGATACTTCCATTGCCAAGCTATGGACTATTTAAGTGTTAACATTTGTTAAGGTTATGAAGTTGTGTTAATACCATTTATTGAGTATTTATTATGTGCCAGATATTGTGCTATATGCTTTGTATGCACAATATTATCTCATTCTTGTAACAATCCTGGAATAAAAGTTATTGTTCCCATTTTATGGAAAAAACAAAAAACAGGTTTAGGGAAATATTTTTTCATGAATACCTAATAATTTGCAAAAACATTAAGTTAACTCACTTTTATTATGGTACCACTGTCAGTTATTTATATATTAATACTTCATTATTTCCTTTCTCTATTTTTTCCCCCCACCAGAGTCGAGGAGAGTTTTAAGACACTGTTCTGGGCTATATTTGGACTTTCTGAAGTGAAATCAGTAGTCATCAATTATAATCACAAATTCATTGAAAACATCGGTTATGTTCTTTATGGCGTCTATAATGTTACAATGGTCATTGTTTTGCTAAACATGTTAATTGCAATGATCAACAGTTCATTCCAGGAGATTGAGGTATAATCTGTATACCTTTGTGTATTCTGTGCCTACTTGTTTTAACTATTCTGGGGATCCACTCAGCATTGATGATGAAAACCCAGACTTCTTTCCCTCCTTTGTTCTTTCCCTATTTTATATAATTGTTTGGCCAGTAAGCTAGAGATTTTTAACTCTTTCTTCCAAATGTAACATCAGTGGGTGTGTTGGGGCAGTAAGACATGAGGAGGAGAAATACTGTCTGATTCTTCATTGTTAAAAAATTTAGAATTGCTATATCAGTTTTAAGTTATATTTTATTCAAAAACATATTGCTCTGAATACCACTGCTATCCAAATCTTTTTGTATGTTTTTTTAAATCCTCACTCAAGTACACTTTTCCATTGATTTTAGACAGAGTGAAAAGGAGGGAAGAGAGAGAGAAACATCAATGTGAGAGAGAGACACCAATTGGTTGCCTCCTGCCCTGACCAGTATGTGATCTTGACTGAGAATCAAACCCGGGACCCTTCAGTGTATGGACTGTTAATCTAACTACTGGTATACACAAACAAGGGTCTCCAAATCTTTTTGAGTGATGTTCATAATTGACCTTTTCTCAAATTTAGAGTGATTATAATTTTTTATTCCAGAAACCTCAGCCTGTGAATTAATCAAATAAGTCTTTTGTTATAGAACAAAAGAGTGACTGATTTTTATAATACTTTTTAGAAAATACATTTTATACATTTCAATGTATTTGTAAACACATGCAAGTTTTGAAACCTGTAGTTCTTTTAGCCTGATAAAATTTTAGAGATATTTAGGAGAGTGTGTGAGTAGAACCAACCTTTGAAAAAGTCTTGGAGCAGTCTTTGGGGTCTGGGAGGTGTGCAGGCGTCATTGCCTTAGCAAGGCACACAGTGTTGGAAATATCCCAGTAAATTTGTTTATGTATCTCCTTGCTGAACTGTCATGTGTGTTTGTATAGGATGATGCCGATGTGGAATGGAAATTTGCAAGGGCCAAGCTTTGGTTTTCCTATTTTGAGGAGGGAAGGACTCTTCCTGTTCCCTTCAACCTGGTGCCAAGTCCGAAGTCCCTGTTTTATCTCTTACTGAAGCTTAAGAAATGGATTTCCAAGCTGTTCAGATGTCATAAAAAGGGTTTCCAGGAGGATACTGAGATGAACAAGGTAATTGGACTTGATAATTGTTTATTATATTTTAAAATGCTGTTGCTATTTTATTTTTTTTGAAATGTGTTTTATTTTTTTTTAGAAAGAGAGGAAGGGAGACGGAGAGAAACATTGATGGCTGCTTCCTTCACGCCCTCTACAGGGGATCAAGCCCACAATATGGGCATGTTCCCTGACTGGGAATCAAACCATTGACTACCTGGTGCATGGGTTGATGATCAACCAACTGAGCCACAATGGCCTGGACAAATACTATGGCTGTTATAACTACTGTATAAAGAAACAGTACATTATAACATGTCCATTTATTCCTTATGTAGTCAGTTAGCTAATCATGTTCCTTTGGCTTATGTCTGTTTCACAGGAGCACATTGGACATGTCCTGCTTAAAAGGAATATAAAACAAGTTCATGAAATGTAACTAAAATAATGTACTACATTATTTGGAGCAGATACTGAAAGGGAGAGCTTTTCTGGGGCCCATTTTTGCACTTGTGGCCATATTTCTCTTACTCACCTTCAATTTATATAGCTAGGCAAAGCATCAGGAGCTCGTTATGACTTGGGGGAATTTGACTCTTAAGTAACTTCATTGGAAAGTTCAGAAAGCAGCTGCTCACCTGCACTGTGGGAGACTAGGCTTGCAGTAAGCAGTTCAGGAAAGAAAGATGTGAGGATACTCATTGGAAACAATGATCCTGTGAGGCAATGGAATCTCAAGAGACCATAAAAGAGGTATATTACTTAGATGAAGGGCTAGGAAGATCACAGTGTGTTCAGAAATCTTTAGAGAACATGTGGAATGTTGTATATAATTGTGTGTGTCGGGGGTAGGAGTTCTTACTCTACACAAAAACCTCTACAACTGGGAGGACTAGAGGCATCCAGAGGAGGAGGACCTACATGGGGTCAGGTTTGGATAGGGTGTCAGATGATGGCGAATTCAGGAACTGTCTATTTCACTGGAACAAGGAGGTCTGGAGGGGAGCATGAATATCTTTTAAATTCTCACTTTTGACTAGGAGGTACAATTATTTTGTTTCTGTCCCTTCAAAAATGGGAAGAGAGGCAATAGATGAAAGTTGCAAATACTTCAATTTTAGGCCTATGTAACAACAAACTTGTAACAAAATCAGCCCAGCAGGGTTGTGGCCTGTCTTAGGAAGTAATAAGCCTCCTATCACTGAAAGTAATTCATATGCCGGACAACCAACATTACAGCACATACAGGAGATCTTCTTGGCTTAACTGACACTGGGTGGTCAGTTAAGCCAAGTGTGTAAAAGTTCCTGGCAATTATATTTTATCATTGAATAAAAAGAAATTCTAATTCCTGCTCCATTTGCTACTTGAGGTTCTCAAGTGAATAATAAACTCTCTGAGTGCTAGTTTTCTCAGCTGATATAATAAAGGTTATATAAAAACAAATCAATATGCAAAAGTGCTTTGAGAATGCCAAATTATTTTGTGTTAGAATTTTGGAAAAAATACACCATTTATGCCATTTTTCCAGATGTATAACATAGAGCATAGTGGGTTGAGTAGCAAAGATTTTCTTTACTTTATAACATTATGATTAGAACTGCAATCTAAGAGAATTCAATGTGCAAAGGAAATGTCTAAAAACTTACCAAAGGGAAGACCCCAATAAGAGTATTTTTCTCCTACTGAAATTTGCTAGAGGGTTAGACCAAATGGCCTTTAAAATATGGAATAAAGAAAGAGTAAAGCTGGTTTTGTAATCCCAAATCTGAAATTAGCAATTATGCTCACTTTATTATCTTATCTTTAAAAGAGAAATGAAGAAAAGAAATTTGGGATTTTGGGAAGTCATGAAGACCTTCCAAAATTATCACTTGACAGAAAACAGGTAAGATCATCTTTAAAAATATGAAGTCATGCATACATAGGCTTATCTTTTCAGGGAAAAGCATACATGTTCAGAAGCAATTTTAAGAAACAGAAATTAGACACATTAAAAAATTTAACTATTTTTAACAATGCCCAGGGAATCTGTCACCGAGAGCTGGAAATAAAGCTATGTTCACATAATCAACAAAAAGAATTATGTGCTTACTTAAGATATATTAGACACATATTTCTTATGGAGGATGGGATATAGGGATGATGTAAAGGAGAAAGGAGAAACTTAAAGGAAGCCAACAGGGACTGTTGGAGACAGGATTAAACTAGCGGCAGGCAGCTGAGGTGGAGAGGATGCCCAGCCAGAAGAGCCTCCTCATTTGTCAGAAATCAAGAAGCAATCGTGGCTGTTGTTCTTGGCCCAGTTCACAATGAGCAATGTGCCTCAGAAACGTGCTCCCTCATTTGGAGTGGCAGAACCCCCAATGATGGGGACACTTGCTACTTTCTTGTCTCGTGCACATAGAGGTGCAAGAAATGCTTATTGAGCCAAAACCGGTTTGGCTCAGTTGATAGAGTATCGGGTTGTGGAATGAAAGGTCCCAGGTTCCATTCCAGTCAAGGGCATGTCCATTGGTTGCAGACACATTCCCGGTAGGGGGTGTGCAGGAGGCAGCTAGCTGGTCAATGTGTCCAGCTCTTTATCCCTCTCCCTTCCTCTCTGTAAAAAGTCAATAAAATATAGTTTAAAAAAAAGAAAAGAAAAAAGAAATGCTTATTGATAGAGGGAAATTATACATGGGTTAATTGGGGGAAGGCCAATGTATCAGAAGGATTTGCATGCAGTTGGACGTACAAAACCAAATCACGGTATTTTTACAAGATAGTTGTTTTCCTCCTCCCACTTAACCCTCCAGAGGGGGGCATTACAGGGCTGTGGCCCAGGAGGGTCTCATTGATGTTCTTGGATTTTTTTTTGTGGTAGTGAGATGCAAGATGGCAGTTTCACTTCCAGCTACCACACCCACTTTTTGACAGGAAGAAGGAATAAAGGCAAAGGAATGGGGGGGCATGCCAGCTGACTGCCACCACTCTCAGAGGTGCTCCCAGTGGCTCCTGCTGTTATATCTCACTTGCCAGAACTATGTTACAGTGTCTCTCCAGGGGACACAAATGTCGAAGAGGAGGCTTTTTTTGTTTTGTTTTTATACTAGGTTTCCTCCACCAACACAGTAAGAATATTCATTGGTATTGATATAGTAAGAACATGGAATTAAGTATGTAACAGATTGGGATCTCATCACATCTCTGCCTTTTTAGCAATTCATTAACTTCTATGCACTTCCGTTTCCTCATCAATAAAATAGAGATGATCAAGTTACACAAACCCATCACACTAGACTGTTAGGAGGATTTCAATGGTACTTCATAAATTACAAACACTATGCAAGTGTAAAGTACTTGTCATGGAGAAGTGGCTCTTTTGGTTATTTGGGTATAGGTAATTCAATAAAATTTTTGCAAAACCAGGTCAGCAAGACGGAGCTGACCTGCAAGTGCGTACACCGTGTGCATCAGTCTACATGCAGCACAGACATGTTATTTTAGCATCATAGATCTGTTCATGCTATATGGAGTCAGACGTGGCAATTTAAAAAAAATCAGTTACATGCTGAAACTGGTTTGGCTCAGTGGATAGAGCGTCGGTCTGGGGACTGAAGGGTCCCAGGTTCGATACCTTGGTTGTGGGCACATCCCCGGTAGGGGGTGTGCAGGAGGCAGTTGGTCGATGTTTCTCTCTCATTGATGTTTCTAACTTTCTATATCCCTCTCCCTTCCTCTCTGTAAAAAATCAATAAAATATATTTTTTAAAAATCAGTTACATATCCAGGAACTCTAAACCTTGAACTTTTAATCAAGTCAGAGGCTGTCATTTTTTTTTTTTTCTTTTAATCTTCAGCTGAGGAATTTCCCTTCATTGACTTTCAGAGAGAGTGGAAGGGAGGAAGAGAGAAAGAGAGAGATCAATACTAGAGGGACACATTAATTGATTGTCTCCTGCACTGGGACTGGTGATCCAACCTGCAAGCCAGGCATGTGGCCTTGACCAGAAATTGAACTCATGACCCTTGGGTGTGAGGGGCTGATACCAACTACCGAAAAGCCACCGGCCAGGGCAGAGACTGTCTTTCTAATCCTGTGGCAAAACAATCACTGAAAGGAGTTGTTTCGATTTGTCACTTTCTCCAGAGCCACTTCTCTGGGTGAGTGTGTACAGGATCCCAGCCCGCTGCAGGCCTGGGAGTTACAGTCTCTGGGCCTGAGGCCTGGAAACCGGTATTTTAGTAAGACCCCAGGAGCTTGAGATGCTCCTCAGGCTGTGGGAATCACTGAGTCTTTCATTCCCTTGAATAACTTAGTCGTGAGCTTGGACATGCCAGTAAAAAGTGGTATTTGTAAAGTATCTCCAAAATAAATGAACTGGATTAAAGCTTACCATGAAATAGGCCCAAAGCCACAGGGCAGATAGTTATGACTTTTGTATAATAATAACAGCTACTGACACTTGTAGAACACCTACTGTATGCCAAGCTACTTAGTCTGCGTGCCTTTTCTCTATAATCATCACGTTAGCTCTAGGAGGTTGGTGATACTATTTTCCCTATTTTATACATGAAGAATGTGAGGGTTAGCAGAGGTGAACTGACTTGCCCAAAGTCCCATTTCAGACCAGTGGCAAAGCCAGAATGCAAACTCACATCTACTTGATTCCAAAGCAGGAGGCTTCCAGGCTCTGTACCTATGGCTTCATTTCACATCTGCATTTCCTGCTGCTAACTCATATACTGCCTGTACCTTTAAGTTCATGGTTTTGCTCTTGGCCTCGGGCATTTCAGCTGTGGGGGACTGGAGACTCTGATGCTATGTCCGACTACATCATAATTTCCAATGACTGGATGAAGCTTACTTGTTCCTCTTAATAAATTATAAACAAGGTATTGAGTGTTCCTCACTCTGATAGCACAAAGAGTTGAGAAATGTTAATAAATGAATTCTTAGAAAATCAGAGAGAAAACATAAAGAATATAGGAAATGTGGTAGAAGGTGTTTTTAAAAAGAGAGGCAATGAGTCATTCAGAATTAAAGTGTAGCCTGGCTGGTGTGGCTTAGTGGTTAAGCATCGAACCAGGCGATCACTCACAGTTCAATTCCCTGTTAGGGCACATGCCCAGGTTGCAGACTCAATCCCCAGTGTGGCGTGTGAGGGAGACAGCAGATCAATGATTCTTTCCCTTTCATAATTGATGTTTCTACCTCTCCTTCTCTTTTCCTCTCTGTAATCAACAAAAAATATATTTAAAAAAAAAAGAATTGGAGTGTGCAGTGTCCACCAGCTTCGCCTCCCACTCCCATCACATTGTATTTATTAATATGATCTATACTCATCCAGATCCCTAAGGCTTGAATATTATTCATATTAAAAATTGAACTCTCTTGACTTTCCAGTTTATTTCATTAGTATACATAGAAACAATTATAAGTTAGAATTTTCTGCCACCAAGTGGTAATAATGCTTCTTTGCACATTGGGTAAGTTCCTCCTTACATATTATTTTTTGTATCATTCCATTTTAACATGTTTATTGCATATCTGCTATGTATTTAGAAACAAATTAGAATTTTTTCTTAAAACCGTTTATTTGTATCCAAATTCATGTCTCAGATTTAGAGCAGAACGAGCCACATAAAAATGTTCTAAATAACTTTATAAATGTTTAGTCATATACCACTTCACTATACCCGTGGTTCCCAATCAGGGGTGGTTTTGCCCGCCCCAGGGTGCATTTGTAATAGACATTTTTGGCTGTTACAGCCAGAGAGGATGACTGTTCCTGGCCTAGAATGGGTTAGAGGGCATAGATGCTGCTAAACATTCTGCAGTACACTGAAAGCCCCCACAATAAAGAATCTCTAGCCAAAGCATCAAAAACGTCTCCATTGAGAAACCTGGAACTCAGTCCACTGCCCTCACACCTGGGAGAGCTGTTAGGCCAAAACTGTATGAACACACTGTAGCTCCAGTCATTGGCTCTTCAAGATCTTCCCTCTGGGGAATCCACAATCATACCCATTCTTAAGTGAACAGAGTGTACTGTTTTCTGTTCTCCTGGTATTGCTCCTTCCTCTGTATCACTCAGTGTGTTGCTTAGCAAGACATCTGTCTGTCTATGGCTTAAAAAGAATTCACTGTGTTTCAGATGTATCTTTATCATGGAGTTGAACTGCAGCCTATTGGTTCACAAACCCAGATAGTTTTGTATGTGCTGTGTGTAGCATTGTCCAAAAACTATGTGAGGTCCATTAGGGACCCAGTAACACATCTTCTTTCACTTATTTCACCAACCAGCAATGTTGAGCACTTGCCATCTGCTGGACAGTGCTGGCACGAGGGACGTTGAGATGAACTAAAAAGTCCATCCTTCTATACAGCCTAGAGAATGCAGACAATACACATGGAACTAAGCCAGTGAAATAATAATTGTAAGTCGTGAAGTGTGTTTTGAAAGAAACAACCAAGAACTATTTTTCATGGGGTGGGCAAGAGAAGCTTTCCAATAAGCCTATGTTTTAAGCAAAAATCCAGTGTGGCTCAGGTGGTTGGGTATTGTCCTGTGTACCATTGGGTTTCTGGTTCAGTTACTGACCATGGCATATGCTCAGGTTGCAGGCTCCATCCCCAGTAAGGGGCATGCAAGAGGCAGCTGGTAAATGTTTTGCTCTCACATTGATGATTTTCTTTCTCTCTCCCTCTCCCTTCCTATTTCTCTAAACATCAGTAAAAATATTTTTTAAAAATTCAAAGGTGAGAGAGAGCTAGTCATTAAGGCAAAGATCCAGGAAAAGAGGGTTTTAGGATTTGGAGACAGCAAACACAAAAGCTGTAAATTATAAAACAGCAAATGAAAGAAGTCTTGTCTGACATTATTATAATAAATTTTTTAAAGGATTATCTTCAAGGGCACGGTGTATCATGGGGCTGCCTTAATTGGGGATGATTTGGCATATCAAGTATCAAGGACCACACATTTACCTTAAAAAAAATCCATAGGAAGCAAATTTTTTTTACTTTCCAATTTCCATTAATACCTATGGATGTACTGGTAGCCTCTAATTAAAAAATGAGCATCAGCCTTAACGGGTTTGGCTCAGTGGATAATGTCGACCTGCTAACTAAAGGGTCCCAGGTTTGATTCTGGTCAAGGACATGTATCTTGGTTTGGGGCACATCCCCAGTGCAGGAAGCAGCTGGTTGATGTTTCTAACTCTCCTTCTCCCTTCCTCTCTCTAAAAAATCAATAAAATATATTTTTAAAAATGCCTGCTTATTCTGATTAGAAAAGTTTTTTTTAATGAGTATTAAATTAATGATTTTCAGAGGTTGTGAATTCATGAATAGGTGGGAAAGGATGTGCAAAGATTCCATTTGTATGGGTCTTTTCCCTCCAGTTATGACACCTGTCCTTACTCTCAATGTTTCATCATAAAAACAGAAAAGTGAGCTTGACCCTAGCCATCACATTTAATGATGTTCGTAAGGAATAAATTACACTTTGAAAGCCAGAAATAATTATGGCATTATAAAAAATGAATAATTATATTACTGAAAAATAAACTATATATTAAAATTATATTATTAAAATTGGCTTAAGCTTGCATAAATTTTACACGTTCGTTCATTAGAAGACCTTGAAGGACTACAGAGGTTACCAGATCACCCCTTCATTGTGAGAAGAGAGTTTCAGCACCTTGCCTAAGTTCCACAGCTAACTCTTGGCAGAATCAGATTTGCATCTCGAGGACTCCATCAAGCGCTCTTACGAATTTAAGCTGCCTTTCTTTGGCCAATTTGGTCGATTGTATAATTTTACCTTAATGTTCTTCAAAGTAAATATAACATAACGATACACTTTGCTGATATTTTTAGAGAGGGTGAAGAAAAAAGAAAATAGCTTTGTGGGGGGGGGAATGCTATCTGTACTATCAAAATTACAAATTGTTTTTCATGGATTTTGTCAGCCTTGTGATATTTTCTTATTACTGTAATTCAGCTAGACCATAATTGTTTACATTCTTTGTTAGAACCCATCACGTAGTACAGGGCCTTACATATAGAAGACATTTAATACATGCTTGTTCGATGGATGAATGTGTACACAGCTGTTTTAATTTAGTGTGCAGGCATTTAAAGATCAAAGCTGTAATACTTTCAGCAATAAAGATGGATGTTTAAAAATAAAAATAACTATTAAAGTATTGAAGTCAAGGATTTTAATTGAGTCATATTGATCTGTATATATGGTAACTTAGATGTCATTGAGAAATATCTTTGAAGACAATCTTAAAGTTTCTCATCCCCTGTAAACATACAAATTTGGAGCTACTCTGTTCAACTTGGGTTTCCTTGCTTTTTGTAAAATCATTTTTTTTCTCTCTTTAAAAAGTGAGTTGAAAAGTTTTTTAATCTTCCTCTTAGCATGTTAACATGGCATGTTTAAATCTTTATTGGAGATTGCTTTCTTTGTTATTTGCCCATTCAAGCAAGTATATTACTTGAAAAGTGCTTCCCAAGTTGGATACTATCCAGATCCTAGAATTTAAGTGGATTAATTAGTGAATTCTATCCCACAACAGTCTCATCCTGGCATTTCTCAGGAGCCCAGCATGTCCCACTGCAGCGTGGGTGTTTTACTCCATCAGGATTTCTGAGGGTCATCACCATTATTTCTCCAACTCGTTTGCCTCTTCTGCTGTCACAGATGTATCTGTGGGAAGGTTAAAATGTGGTTCTCATGGCAACATGATTGATGCACAAAGACTAAACAACTCCTCGGGTGACCTCTAATAGCCATTGAGAGACTGAACACACCTTACGGGTCTGTGTTTGTCTTGGCAGACAGAACAATAAGCAAGTGAAGTTACAATGGTACTATATATGTGTAACATATAAAACTTTAGTTCATTTATATGACTAATAAATCTAATCACATTTTTAAAAACGTAGATATGAATCAATTTCTTTTTTTTTTTCACATTGCAGCTTGAGCAGAATAAAGGATCAAGTTTAAGAAGTTCAGAAGATTTCCAGTTAAATAGTTTCAGTAATCCTCCAAGGCAGTATCAGGTAAGCATGAATTTTTAAGGAATGAGATTATTAATTGATGAAATATAGAATCTCAAACTATGCAATTCTTTAAGTGAAAATTATATCTTTCTCAATATCAAAATAATGCATTCATTCAACAAGTATTTACTGAGTAACTACCCTGTGCCAGGTACTTACTAAGTACTGGAAATACAAGGGTAAACAAAATAGATGAAGCCATATCATCATGGAGTTTAGAGTCTTCATGCTCATTGTAAAAAGTCTATCCTTATTAAAATCATGAAGAGGAGAGTAAAATCCACCTCCAACCCTATCATTGAGGAATAAAGATTACTTTTACTGAATATTTTGCCAGATGATTATATACATGAGCATAATTTTTACATTGATTAATATTATTATATAAATGTATGTATAATATATAAATGAATTAATAATACTTATATGTTGAGCAATAGTTTTTTTTTTGTTTTTTTTTTAATTAATAATTTATTTATTTTACATATTTTATTGATTTTTTTTGCCCCCCTCCTTCCCTCCCACGTATCCCCTCCCTCCCCAGAGTTTTATGTCCATTGGTAATAGTTTTTATTTTTTATTTTTATTTTTATTTTTTTTCATTTGTGGATGATAAAGAACATTATAAACTGATGAACCAAGAGACAGATATAGAGACAGTAAAGCAACAGGCAGACTGTCAAATTACAGTGGGGAGGGGAGGAAGATCTGGGGGAGATAATAGATCAACCAAAGGACTTGTGTACATGCATATAAGTACAACCAATGGACATAAAACTCTGGGAAGGGAGGGTATGTATAGGAGGGAGGGAGGGGGCAAAAAAAATCAATTAAATATATTAAAAAATAATAAAAAAGAGCAATAGTTTTTAATTTCATAAAACATATTCATAATTATTTTAATGGATGTATAATATTCACTTATATTATACAAATATATGATAATGTATTAAAATATTCCCTGCCCTGGCCTGTGTGATTCGCTTGGTTGGAAAATTGTCCCAAACGCCAAAAGGTGATGAGTTCAATCCCTGGTTGGGGTGCATGCAGAAGATAACCCATTGTTGTTTCTTTTTCACATCAATTCCCCACCCCCCTTCTCTCAAATCAATTTAAAAAAACAAAACTCTGGCTGGTATGGGTCAGTGGGTTGGGCATTGTCCCATATAGCAAAAGGTTGCTGCTTTAGTACCTGGTCAGGGCACATGCCTGAGTTCTGAGCTCCAGCACCCTGTGATGTTTCACTCTCACATCAATGTTTCTCTCTCTCGCCCTCTTTCTTTCTCTCTAACATATCAATAAATATATCTCTCTAACATATCAATAAATATATTTTTTAAATAAAGAAATTTAGAATAATCCCTTACTGATATACATGTAAGGGTTTATTTTTCTACTATTATGTAGTATTAACATGAATATATTTACCCATGGACCCAATTACACCATTGGAATAAGTTCTTGAAAGTGGAATTTTCCTGTCTACCATTTCCTTTTGGGCTCAGGTAATTTAGCTATATCTTCACTCAGGACTTCCTGCACATGTGCTGAGCCTCCTACTTTTCATGAAAAGTATGTAGTAAACATACATCCTTATGGAAGAAGCCCTGGTACTGAAGGAATGATTACATTGAAACCGGCCATTCATAAATTAGAATGCACAAAATCAAAGCTGGCCATGTCTTTTAGTAAGGGAAGGGGGAAAAACATGAGTTTTCCCTCATTTGCTTAATTTTCCATTTCCACCTGCAACACTGCATACCTTTAATCTATCCACTGAAAGGCGGTGTCTTGCCCTAATACTTCTCAAATAAAATACAAGCAATGAATCAAGAATTAGATGTTTGTTTGGAACTTGCACTTTTTTGCAGAATTAATTTTCGACTCATTAATTCCGGTGATATATGCATTCTCTGGCAGGTAAATCATCTTCATCTTTGATAGTGATCACTTTTAATGTGCTTGATAAAGAGACAATGACTCAAGTTTATTCCAAATGAGAGATTTGTCATCAACATAAAGCTTAGATGGATTTCTTTTCTCTTTCTAGAAAATAATGAAGAGGCTCATTAAAAGATATGTTCTGAAAGCCCAGATCGATAAGGAAAGTGACGAAGTGAATGAAGGTGAGCCAGGGTATGGGCTGGATGCAGAGCCGAGGGGGGGGGGTGGGTCAGGAGGGAAGGGCTTGGGAAGAGTGAGCTTCAATAAGAGACTATGGGTTCTCACCAATTGTCCATACCAGTAAGGTCTCAGGCAGCAGGACGTTTTTGCACAGTTCAGGGCAGATGCCGCTAGTTAGGTAAATAAGGATTGTTTTTATGAGGGCTTGGAGGGAGGAAGAAGTGGTTAGGAAAGGTGAGGGGCTGTTCCTCCCAAACCCCAATACACTTGCAACCAGTATTTTCCTTTAACTTATTCTCAGAGTACAGTAAATTATAAATTGGCAATAATTTTTTAAAATATATTTTATTGATTTTCTTACAGAGAGGAAGAGAGAGGATAGAGAGTTAGGAACATCGATGAGAGAGAGTCATCAATCAGCTGCCTCTTGCACACCCCCTATTGGGGATGTGCCCACAACCAAGGTACATGCCCTTGACTGGAATCGAACCCAGGACCCTTCAGTCTGCAGGCTGATGCTCTATTCACTGAGCCAAACTGGTTTCGGCTATAATTTTTTTCTATAATTTTTTCATTACCTGAAATATGTAGCTGACAAATAGAAACTTGCTGGTTCTTCCTTCGGAAGGATTCAATATACAGATATGCATGGAGTTGAGACTGATTTCACTCCACCCCAGAATGGCTATTACTCTGCATTATGTAGTGATGGGACACTTGTCACTCTTGTGTTTTTTTGTTTTTGTTTTTTCAAAGGGGAACTGAAGGAAATTAAGCAGGACATCTCAAGTCTCCGCTATGAACTCCTGGAAGAAAAAACTCAGAATTCAGAAGATCTAGCAGAACTGATTAGAAAACTCGGGGAGAAATTATCATTGGGACCAAAACAAGAGGACAGCAAGAGATAATGCAAAGACTTCCCTAAAAAAATTCCATATTTATTTGTCCACTTGAAACCATATTATTTTCTGATTTATTTTTTTAAGTGCCAATGTGACCACCTTTTAAATGAGAAAATGTTCAAAGATAACTTGGGTCATGCTGTCATCTAGTTCCCTAACATTTGATATTTTTCATGGGTAAATGTCACCATTCGGACTGAAGAGTGCAGATTACAGTGGAATTTCTGCCAGTCGTTTGGTGCTCGTTTTATAAACTGCTTTCTTGGGTGTAATTTGTGATGGTGTGATTGCTGCGTAGCATCTGCTCGGAGATCAGCTGGCAGGGCCATGTCCCCTGATGGTGATTTCAGGCATCTTCTGGTCTGGCCTGTAATCTAAAGGAAAAGCCATCTGTGACCATTAGGGAATGCTGTTTAATCACCGATCCTGCTTAGCCCCTACCAAATACGATTGATAATGTCTGTGCGAAAGGGGGTTAAATCTTTCCTGTACTTTTTGACTCATCTCTTTAAAAACATTATATTTACCGGTGAAAAAGTACTTCCTCCACTGAACCCTGGAAACATGCCTCAGGTGTGAGTGTGTGTGTGTGTGTGTGTGTGTGTGTGTGTGTGTGTGTGTAGGAAATGCTCACCTTATTTTCTTTCACAGTTGATAGATACCCTCTAAAGCTCTTTACATTATAATTTTTGGTTGTGACTAAACAATCGTGGTCATTCAGTCCAGTGATAGCACCATTTTGGGCCATTTCTGAGGGCCTTTGCAGGTGAATTCCCAGAGTGGGCATCAAATAGAAAGAAACAAAAAAGTGCTGAAGGAACTTGCAAATAAGTATCTCTTATTGTCATTATGTGCTACTCTTCTCTCAAAATATATCACACAGAAGGTTGCATTCTGAGCATTCACCAGAAGGTTCTTACTGACGGAGGATGTGAGGCAGCAGCTAAAGCAAGGAGAAGAGAACTGAAGGGTCATCCATTCAACTTGGAAGAGGCTGCCAATATTTAGAGGATGCTGGGCACTCAAACTCAATGTGGAAGGGCTTCAAATGCAAAAATGCAACTTAATTTTCAAACAAAAATGTCACAGAAAATCTGTTCCACCCCAAGTTTGATGGAACTTAAATCAAAGGACTTTTATGTAACCAGCAGAAAATACAGCTTCCATTTTGTATTCAGTGGTTTTGTATTTGTGGAGTTTATTTATTAAGTTATTTCCTGACACAGAAAAGGTCTGTTTTCAAATGTTTCATGACAATATTGGAATCAGAAGTTGCAAAAAATCAACCTCATACCAAATGCATTATCGGCTAATTAAAATAATCCAACATCCACAAAGCTTGTGTTATGCATGCGTGTGCCCAAAGTCAGCAGATTTTCTTCAGAGGGCAGCTGGATTGGCACCTCTTCTCATGTCTTTTTCATTGGAAGATGAGTAGAACACCCCACTATCTTCTAAAAAATGTTTTAGAGAGCTTAACCGAAGGCACAGTGTCAATGGATCTTCATGAACACGACGGTCCCTCATACGTATCAAGACCCCTGGTTTTAAGTCCTGTATTCACATGGCAGTCAGATTAACCTTTAGAAATAAAGTGAATAGGAAGTGGAGATGTAAAACATTTTCCCAGAGGAATTTGATGATAACACCTATTCACAAGTCACAAAAAGCTTTCATTTGGAATAAGTTTTTGCAGGGATGTTTATACAACCGAGTAAATAGCTAGAGAAACTGACCAGCTGTGGGATAGTTTTGTTCTCATATTAGTATCATTTGGTGGATAATCAATTTATGCAATGTAAGTGAATTATAGGGATATTGATTCATGGTTTTCAAACTTCATGAAAATGATGCATTGAGTTGCCATATTATTCAATGGTAAGGGGTATTATACCTACTCAAAAAGTATTCCTATCGAATAAAGAGGGAATATGCTAATTGACCATCACACCCTCACAAAGATGGATGCCCCAGTCCCTTAAGCCCCACCAGGGCAGCAGGCGCGTGCCATAGCTGGGCCTGCACCCAGGCAGGTCTGGCTGCTCTGCACATCTGCCTCTAGAGTCCCCCAGTCCTCTCAGCCCCCCAGCCACCCAGGGCCAGCTCAAGGCACAGGCAAATCTTGGATGGTGGCTGCCTAACCACCCAGGGCCACACAGGCTCAGGTAAGCAGGGCAAGCTAAGGCTTGTGCTGCCAACAGTGGCAGGAGCAGAGATGTAATGGGGCATCACCTTCCCCTGATCGCTGGGTTGCCTCTTACCCCTGAGGGTTCTCAGACACCCCCTTTCAGGGCATGAATTTTCATATACCAGACCTCTAGTCCTATCTAATAAAGATGGAATATGCAAATTGACCGTAACTCCACAACAAATATGGTAGCACCCATAGCCAATAAGGAGAAAATATGCAAATTGCATATTTCCGCAACAAGGCAAGAAGCGGAAAGGTGGCTTCAGTCAGAAAGGTGGTGCCAGCAGCCAGGGGAAGGAAGGCTTATTTTTGCACAAATTTTTGTGCATCAGGCCTCTAGTATACCCATAATAATCATAGTATTCCCCAAGTATAATGTTATTTAAGGCATTGCAATAAAAATCAGAGAAAATTTGGTATGTATAGACTCTAAGAATTTCTCCTTTCTTCTGCTTCCAGTGTTCATGCTATAAGCATAGGCTTCTCTCACTGATGACCTGTTGGAACAGTGTATGATTAATGGACAGTCATGTCCTCTAGCACAGGCTCAGGACAGAGTGAATTTTGCTTTCTTAAATCATTCGAGAAAACCTTGGTGATGACATTCAGGAAGTGACTCTTGGGCTTTGCTGCCCTGCATTTTGTCACGATCATTGTCCGTGAAAATAGACTTTTATGTCACTATAAGAACAATCTCAGACCAAAGTCAGTTCAGGTGTCATTGTGTTTCAGCCTGAGAAGCGATGGGTAGTGCTGTGCTTTCGTGTTAACCTTTCCAGTATGCTGTGAGTCAGCCATCTGACATTTACCCTCCACTCTCTCTCAGAAAATGGACTACCCTGAGAATCATTGGAAAAGGTCAAATTTTAGCATTGCCTTATATTTCAAAAAATGTTAATGCCATATTGCTGCTACTATCTGTTGACATGTAAAAGGACATATACACAAATAAATGCATACATAGTTTGTCAGGATGTAGAATATATATTATATGCATGTTTTATATATATAAAAGCAAAGAATTCTTCAAAACATTGCTATAATCCCAGAGAAAACATTATGCTGCAAATATATATATATTTTTGTTTATTTTTTCACCTGCCCTTTCCTTTTTAATTTCAATGGTTTCAACTTCTTTCTAGTCTCTATATAATATCTACCAATTCTGTTGAGTTCTTTAAATCCTAGCAGTCTAGAATCTGGAGCCAGAACATGTGGGCTTGAATCCAAGCCCTAGCAGTTATCAGCAGGACAATCTTCACTAAGTTTCTTAACCTTTCTGTGCCTCATTATTCTACAGGTAAAAGACCAGCATCATCTCCCATGTAGAGATTTTGTGAGGATGAAATGAGTTAATACATCTTAGGGTCAGAAAATAGTGCTCAGTGAATGCCAGTAACCAACTAATGTTAGCAATTGTAGAGAAAGAATGTGACTCTCAAATTCCCTTTTCCACTCTGTCTTAAACCTCATAAAATCTAGTGAGATTTAGGTCTCAACTCGTGTTTCTCTGGTTAATTGGTACATAGTGTTTAAAACACTGTTTTTAAGAAGGATTCCAGGGTCCTCACAGTCAGTGGGACAGAATGACATTGAGACAATTAACAATGCTTGCCACAGACATGGAAAGTTGCTTCTTAGCCATATACTTTCCATCATCCTTGAAGAAAATGAACCATATTTGAATGTTATTTGGAAAAATTTCAAGACATTTATTACTTTTGATTGTAATATCCTTATATCATTTTATAATTGTATCATAAGATGATTTGGGGCAGGTACTATATTAGACCCCACTTATAAAATTTATATTTAATATCTATTGTAGTTATTTCAATGTGCTGGGTAATGCCAGTAGCAGTACTAGAAACAGAATACAAGTCGTTGATTTATAAGCCACAGACCTAATTCATACAAGCTGGGACCATAAGGCCTATTTTCATTTAGTCATCCCAGATAGCTAGCTAAACAATGCTTGAGAAGAGATTCTTCAACATCCTCAAGGGGGAAAGTGAAGCCTGGACTTGTTAGGTTTAGTTTGCCTGCTACAGTTTGTGGTGTCATCTTATTTTTTAGAGGATGTACCAAACCCGTGTAAGAAAGTTTGGGTACTGCCTAGTCATTGAGTAGTTTCTACATGATGTTTTAGAGGGTAAGCAACTTGATTCATTCATTTCATACTTTTTTAGATATATATATATATATAATTTTAGAGAGGAAGGGGGAGAGAGAAAGATCAAAGATGAGAGAAAATCAATGATAGCTAACTTCTACACACCCCCTCCCAGAGACTGAGCTCACAATCCGAGCTTGTGCCCGGACCAGGAACGGAACTGTGACCTCCTGGTTCATAGGTTGATGCTCAACCATGGAGCCACACTGGCTGGCCATACTTTTGTTTAATAAGAAATGTATCCTTTGACTCAGGAAGTTAAAGTAAGTAATGAATTAACTGCATGCCAGTTTTTCTTTATTAATTCAATATTGGGTCTAGCCTGTCAATTTTCCTCACAGACATGATCAGCCATCATTCATGATTGGCTAATAGGAGAGTTAACCCCTTGGCTGGTGGCAGGAGTTCATTTATCCTCATTATTGAGGAAGATACAGGCGCTGTCCAGTATATTGGTTCTTTCTGATGTTGTCCATTCTGAGACCTAATTCCTTTTCCTCATAAATCCCCAACTCAGTGGGGTCTGGCCCTGAGATGTGTATAAGCTTTTCTCTCTTAAACCAATGACTTCTGACTTCAGAGCTCAGAGAGGTTTTTGTGAGAGGAGCAGTTAAGGCACTCGATGGCCTTTTGAATGACCAT